TCTTTAATCAAAGAATAAATCTGGGTGGTCAAAAAATTTTGGGTTTTAAGTAAAATAATTTTATCTTCTATGAAAAACTATTTTAACTTTTTTTCTTGAAATTACAATTTCAGGGCCTCAAAATAATTTTGTGTGCAAGTATAGTCTGAACTTTTGCATTTCGACCTCACCAATCGGGTGCTTAATATATTACATAATTGTTAATATTGGATACCTATCGGGTTTCTGATAAGTATACGATAGGTGTTCAATATTTCCTATTTCAACCAGTGTTAATGTTTTCTACAGTAGAACCAGACTTTAAAGGCTTGTCTACTTTAAGTGAGTTATGCCTAGCCCCCTTGTTTTGAGACTCTTGGTGTTTACCTATACCTGTCTTACTATGGGTAACTCTATTGACACTAGAGAAATGGTTTCTTTCTATATTTTCATACTAGTTTTTCTTTATTTTTGATTTTTGTATATTCTTACTGTGGAATTTAATTTTTCTGACGGAATGCAGAAAGAGTTCCTAATTCCAACCATAGAAAACACTTGTAAATAAATAAAAAAGTTTACTATATAGCAATATTTTATAAATTTTTTATTTTTAATTATTTGAAACATTATACTTTGCAATTCATAATTTGAATATCATCTTTAATTACAAGTTTACTGGTTATTATTTCAATTTCTAGTTGTAACACTTGTTATTTTTAAAAGCAAAAGTAATAATTAAAAACTAAATTAGTTAACAAGCAATCTTTATTTTTAATATTTTTTGATATTTTTATTTATTAATTATTTTTTAGACATGTTCTAAATGTTATAATTGGTTTGAAGGGAAACAATATGTATATGCCTCAAGACTGCATAAATGCTGTGAGAAATATATGTAAAATTTTTAGATTATATTTATAATAATGGAGAAGCAATTTAAAATCTCAAAAGGTGAACAAATAATATTGGTTTTGAAAAGTGTAATGGTTGATGTATGACAAACAAAATTAAAGTATTTTGTATAAATTTTATACTTTAAGGTTAGACTAATTCCATGCGTTATGTATATGTGGATCGTTATGTATGTATATTTATTATGTGAATCGTAATAAATTTTTTTAGTACACAAGTAATATAAAAATAAATGTGCGACGACGACTTTTTGATAATTTATACCGTGTATATCAATACATAATACATACTGTCTATCAATACCATTCGAAAAATTACTCTATCTGTTATATAGTCTCGACTTTAATAAATATTTTTTCATATTTTTAATGGAGCGTGATAGTATATTAGCTTCTTACGGCATTCCCAACATTCCACTTGCACGTTCTTCAAATGGAGGTCCTAATCGAAGAACAACTTCTGGTACTATTGCTGGTCGTACTACCAGTAAAAGGTACTCAGTAACTGCACTTTATTCCATGGCTGCCGAGCAAGATGTAGAAGTGGAAGATGAATTAGCCAAAGGTAGATTATCTTGCTGGTCAATAATTTTGTTACTCAAATTGTAAAATTCTAGTTAAACCATATTTGGCTATTCTAGTGTAAAAAGTCGACTAGTACTACTTATAGTGATGAACTGTGTTAATAGAATATTAAAGCTCTGGATGCAAATTCTTTAAGTCGTTACTATTGAAATTCATGAAGTTCAACCATGGTATACAATATTTTGTGGAATTCTGATAAACTTAATAACTCTTAATAACTTTGGTTTTATTTATAAATAAAGCACAAAAACGGTTACGAGAATTAAAAGGTAGAATTTCGGCGCAATCAAAGAAAAATTTTGTTCTGGAACGAGATGTTCGATATTTGGATTCTCGTATTGCATTATTGATTCAAAATCGAATGGCATTGGATGAGGTAATTCATTGCCCAATTATTACTCCAATTATTATTTAATTATTATTAACAATAAGTTCAAATTTGTTAATATAAAAAAAAATTAGAAACAAGAAGTTGAAAGCCATCTTGAAGATATGGATCCTGAAGGTGGTACATTCCCTGATGACCGTAGATTACAACAATATGGAAATTTATTTTTTCTTCTCCAAACTGAACCGCGTCATATTGCAGCTTTATGTCGTTTGGTTAGAATAACTGAAATAGATACATTATTACAGACAGTTATGTTTACATTGTACGGTAATCAATATGAGAGTAGAGAAGAGCATTTATTATTGACAATGTTTCAAGTGAGTGCAAAATAATTTTATTATCTTTATTTAGTTGTTGGAAGAAAATTTGAGTTATGATCCTAAAACGATCAACCATCTCTTTTAAAAGTCTGTCCTCTCTGCACAATTTGAAACAACTTCAGATTTTAATTCATTACTAAGAGCAAACACACCAGTGTCGCGAATGATGACAACATATACACGTCGAGGACCAGGTCAAAGTTATTTAAAGTCTGTACTATCAGAACGAATTAACAGTTTGATAGAACATAAAGATTTAAATTTAGAAATTAATCCATTAACGGTACGTGATTTCCTTGATTTTATTTTTATGTAATTAATTTACGTAAATAATAATATTATATATATATTATTTATTATTCATATATATTATCCATTTGTTGTTATAGGTTTATGAACAAATGATTAAAAAAATTGAAGAAGATACCGGTTCTTTACCGGATCATTTACCACGCAGTGTGACACCTGACGTTGCAGCAGCAAATCCAGATGTACAGTCAATCATAGCACCACGCATAACCATGTTAATGGAAATTGCGAATTCTTTCCTTCAAACTATAATAGATTCAATTGAGCAAGTGCCATATGGAATACGATGGATTTGTAAACAAATTCGTTCTTTGACGAAAGTGAGTTTTCGAAATATATTATGAAATTAAATTTACTCATCAATTTTTATTCATCATCAATCTTATTACTCCATTCTTTTTTTAGCGAAAATATCCGGATTGTACTGAATTTGCTATTTGTTCATTAATTGGAGGCTTTTTTTTCCTACGATTTGTAAATCCAGCTATTGTTACACCTCAAGGTTATATGTTAGTTGATGGTATACCGGGTAAATACCCGCGACGAACATTAACTTTGGTTAGTAAATTTTTTTTTTTATAATTCATGGACTTTTAGGATTCACTTTGGATTCAAATATTAAGTAAATCATTATTAATTATTTAGATTGCAAAAATGTTACAAAATCTTGCCAACAAACCTTCTTATGCAAAAGAAGAATATATGAGAATGCTTAATCCCTTTGTCGAGGTTAATAAACAGAGAATTAATAAGTTCTTATTGGAATTATGTGAGATTGGAGATTTTTATGAGAGTCTAGAGGTAAATAAATAAATTTGAATAAAAAAGTTGTTCTGGGAATAACATTAAATTATTAATTGTTTATTTTATAGATGGATCAATATATGGCACTTTCAAAGAAAGATTTACTACTTCATATTACGCTGAATGAAATATATAATACGCATGCCTTACTTGTTCAACATCAAAATGTTTTGGTAATTATTTAAAGTATATAAATAATGAATATTAAATATGAATATATTATTTATTTATTTGTGATTTATATTTAATGATTTTAGGCACCTTCAGAAAAAAGTCATTTACGAATACTTTTAGATGATGTAGGTCCAGCTCCAATCCAAGTTCCTAGAAAGGAGAATAAGACTATTGAACTTCCATTATTTAGTAGATGGGAGACTCCTATACAAGGCATAATTCATATAATTCATTTACTGTTCTGCTTGCTCATTTAAATTAATGTTAAATTTTGTTAAATTTTATATTATTATTATTATTTATTTATTATTTATTTATTTATTTTTATCTTTATTTTTTTTTGGTTTCAGACCTTGCTTCGGCACTTATGTCAGATAACAGTGTGACACAAAATGATATTTTATATATGGAAACTAAATCTATATTTGTGCAAATTATACGATCCCTTCCAAGAATGGCCGGAAAAAAAACACCAGATCTTCTTCGAATCGCTGAGGTGGCAGCAACTGCTAAAGATGCTACATTAGTTCGTAAAGGTATTAAAGTCAAGGAAATGATTCGAGAACTTGAAGAGGCCGGAGTAATAGATCGCAAAGATGGCTATCGTCTTATGACAGAAGAAGTTGGTCAAGAACTAACACATCTTGGTAATCTTCGTGAAAAAGTCAAAGAAGAAATTCGATCACTTGAGGCCGTTTTTAAGACAATATGTGATCATAATAATTATTTACGAAGTCAGTTAGATAGTTATAAAGCTTATTTGCAAAATGTACGACAACAAACTTCAAAGGATTCAGTTGGTGGACCAGGATCAAGTGTAGTCAAGGTGGGCGACAAAGAAAAGAAACCTGCGAAGATGAAAATATTAGGTCCATATAAATTTACACATGCTCAGTTAGAGAAGGAAGGAATTATTGTGGAGAGTAATGTTCCAGAAAATCGGTACGTTATTTAGATAGATAACAAATTTATAAAATTTATTAAGAATTTTTATTTAATTTTTAATTTATTTAAAGGCGACAAAATATTTATTTCAATATTAAGTCACCAATGCCTGGAACATTTATCATTGCGCTTCATTATAAGGGGCGTGATGCTGCAATATTGGAAATGGATCTAAAACTAGACGATTTGTTAGAAAAGGTATTTATATATATATATTTAAATTCTTCTTTTTCTTGGATAACATGCCAAATTGATTAAATTGATTAATTCTGTATACGTAGCAACAAGATAATGTCATATCATTAGATCTCGAATACGTGCAATTAAACGTGAACAAGATTTTATCATTGTTGAATAAGACGTTCTCTAAACGAAAGACGTAGTGTTGGACATCAAAATAATAATTATTATTTTTTATTATTATTTATTAATTGTAGTTTTTAACTTTTTATTTATTTTTCTTTTTTGGGGGGTTCAATAGGGATGCTTTCGGTGCTTGGAGCAAATTGTGTCTTCCCCCCGTGCGTTCAATATCCATTTAATGGATCGTATTGAAAAAAAAAACCTAAAGATTCAAATTTAAAATTAAAGATACTTGTGCACACATTCCATCTCATTTATTTCAACATTTTCGATTATTTTAATATTTAATTATTCTACTTTCTACTTATTCTCCTATTATAAATATTTGATGTATAATATTTTAATTTATTTTTTTATTTATAAATTTCGTAAAATTCTGTGGTAATTTTATATATGTGATATAAATGTAATGATATTTTTTGAATTACATAATCTATTTATTATTTATCTTTATTAATTTAATTTCTAATTTCTATTCATTAATTAATTTTTTTTTTCTTTCTTAAATTTCTTAAAAAAACGAGGGGAGGCGCAATTTGTCTATTAGGTACCTTTGTGAAATTCAAAAAAAAACCTCCCTTTATTATTTTATTATTGTTATTTTTACCCCTTTCACACATTTTATACATTTTATAGTCATCATTCGTTTTTTTTTTTTATTTATTATTCCAAATTTGTAAGCAATAGTACAAATTTCAATCTTTTCACTAAAGGAAAGGATTTGAAAGAAAATCTCAAGACTTTAAATAAACATAAATTCGAGTATGATTAATTTATCTTTGTTTTATGATAAATTATTTTGTTTTTGAATCATCAAAGAGCAAAAAAATAAAAAAAAAATAAAAATAATAATAATAAATTTACTAAATTTAATATTCAAAAATTTATTTGAGATATTTCAAACAACTTGCATTCCCTTTATTATTTTCTTCTACAATTCCAAAATTGTATTCATCACAAAAAATTACCCAACAATAACAATTATATCAATAATAATAATAAAAGAAATAAAGAAATATTGAAGGATAAACTAATAACTAATAAATTATCATTAAGAAATATTATTTATATTTATATACTTTTTTTTTTTTTAAGTAAAAAAATAAAATCTTTAAAATCTTTCTCTTTTCAATCCAATGATTTTGTTGAATATGCTTTTCTTTATGATATAAGTAGTTGGTAAGTTTGTTATTTTCAATCAAAAGTATAACAAAATGATTTCTAATAATTATCAAATAAATACTTTATAAATACATTCTATGAAAATGGAGGTCTGGATGTTGGGGTTGGAGGAATTTTAGTATTTTGAAAATTAAAGTTCCTTATTAAATTGTTTGACTTTTTGTTTGGTGGAATCTCATCCCAATCTTGAATAAGAATGAGTGGGACATTACATTCGCTTTTTTTATTGTGATCTATTTTAGTATCACTTGATAGAACAGTTAAAACAGGTATTTTTTGCGTATTAGAAACTTCAAAATTATAATTGACTTCTTTTTCGGGTTTATCATCTAAAGAGAATTCTTCAAGATCATTGTTTCCTTTAAGAATAGTATCAACATGAGAAAGTGAGTGAATTATATCATGCGCAAATGTAACTGAATTTGGTGCGTTTTCTCGTGTTGGATTCCAACCAACCGGTGGAGATCCTGGTGGAGAAGAAAGCCAATTTTTTTCTAATTCTGGAACATTTAGATGTCGTGAACTGTCGAACCCATCATATACTGGAGTATGCTTAGAAAACCAATAATGAATTACGTATAAATAATAATAATATATAATACTTTGATCTTTTTTTATCAGAGAATTTAAGTAGATAAAAACTTACTGAACCAAAATATACTCGTATGATATTGCCAAGAAAGAGCGTTCTATCAACGTGAGATTTTGCAACTTGAGCCTCACGAGTTTGAAAGAAAATAGCGAGAATGCGATTGAAAGACTTAATTGGAATAAATTTATGAATTGCACCGTATCGTTCTAAACGACTTCGCAAGCTAACAAGATTTTCGAACAAAAAGGTATCACGATCTAGATTGGTGATCGTAAGTGTGTTTGTAGCAATTATTTCGGTTTGAATTTGAAGTGGAAAAAGTGACGGTGACATTTTATTACGAGTTTAACACAAAATACATTAAAGTAGTTAAAAAGTTTATTAATTAGGTTGTACATTATGTTTCACGTTATATATAAAAAATATATAAAACCAAATTCTTTTTTAGATAAATCAACTTATTTATTAAAACTAATACTCAGTTAATATTCTTTCCTTTAAATCTTCCTTTTAAACATTATTCAATCTTCCCTTAATCTTCCTTTTAATCCAACCTTTATTATGGGTTCATACGTTAGACAACAACGCAACTTTTCTGTGGACAATAAAAATGAGGTTTCGCATCCTTCCGAAAATTTATCACAATCATCATATTATGAACTTCAGTATGGTAATTCAGAAACAATAGGTACCAAGGAAACTCTTATACCAACTACAGATGTGAACGGTTATCAATATAGGAAAGCAGATATTGGAAGAGTCATAACTCAGGCAGAAATTCTTACTCGTATAGTACCGTTTTGGGAAGTAAGTTATATTATTATAATAATAATAATAATAATAATAATAATAATAATAATAATAATAATAATAATAAATAATAATAATAATAATAATAATAATAATAATAATAATTATAAATAATAATAATAATTATAAGTAATAATAATAATTGTATTCATATCATATTTTGAAACATTTTTACTAATAAATAATAAAAATTTTAAAGTTGTTTATTAGCGCGGTTGGACTTTTTGGCTATCATATCGTAACAATGGCGATGCGTAATATTGGTGGACCCGGAGCTGCCTCAGTTCTTTTTTTTCATGGTTGTAATTCAGAATTTTATCAACCAAATGTTGATTTATGTGCTACATCTATTTTGTCATGGAGTCTAATTGGAGGAGCAGTTTTTTATTTTAGTTTTATTACAATTTTGAGTATATTATTATATATAGAATGTTACAGTCAGGGATATCCTGGAGCATTTACGGCATTATGGAATTCACCATTTTTCCTTTTTTGTTATTGTTTTAGAGAACAATATCGAATAGATCTTTTGAGCATTCCCAATAGATTTGTTGGATTTAAAAAGTGGACTCGATTTAGTTTACATAGATTCGCGTTAGCATTTTATTCTTTAATAACAACACTTTTAGTCACATATTATCTCACACGGAAAACAGTAGATAACGATGATTTTATAGCACAAAAAGAGTATAAAAACGGGGATGGTTTATGTAAGTATATTATTTATTATTTCCTCAATTAAATCATTTTCTCAATTAAATTATTTGCTCTCTAATTAAAATTTTAAATATTAATAATTAAATAGATCGTTTATATAATCCATATTTTCTTCCATATTATGCTGCCATTTACTTCTATTGCAAAACGCTAATATCTTCCGGAATAGAGATAAGAAATGCCTCTAACAATGATAGATCAGAGTTAATAGGAGTTAATTATATGTCATTAAAAATACATTAAGGAAACATTAGGTTATTAATGGAAATATTTTTCTAAATAAATATTAGAAATTTTTTTTTTTTTTTCAACTTTCATTATTTTCTTAAACTCTTGAACGCGTAATACAGCAATACAACGAAAATGCTTAATGAAATTATTAATATACTATATATAATAGATCTAAATGTTGTTTAAATGCGATAAATTAAATTAATCGCATACAATAAATTAATAAATTTCAAATACAAACTAAAAATGCACATTATCACTTGCATTTATCATTATTTTCCAATTAATATCTTCTCTTGTCTCTTTTTTAATATATTTCCAATAAAAAATTCTCCTGCTTTATAACTACTTCTCACCAATGGACCTGATGCAATATACAAAAATCCCAAATGATTACCCACTTCAGACCAATAATTAAATTTTTCAGGTGTTATATATTCGTGAACTTTCATATGTCTCTTTGTAGGACGCATGTATTGTCCTATTGTTACACAATCTACATTTATATTGCGTAATTCTTTAAATTGAGGATTAAATGAAAATAATAATAATAATAATAATAATTAATAATAATAATAATAATAATAATTAATAATAATAATAATTAATAATAATAATAATAATAATAATAATAATAATAATAATAATAAAACGAGAATAATGAATCAATAATTACCTTTCAATGCATCCATTATTTCTTCTTCAGTTTCACCAACACCAAGCATTATACTAGTTTTTGTAATCAAGTTTGGTTTGATCTTTTTTACATGTTCCAATACCTTTAAACTCTGTCTAAAAGTTGCTCTCCTATCTCTAACATATGGTGTTAATGCTTCAACTGTTTCAATGTTATGAGCATAAACATCTAATCCTGAATATGCAACTCTAGCAACACATTCAAGATCACCTTTGAAATCTCCTGTAAGACATTCTACTAATATTTGCGGTGCTCTAAAATTAAAATAATTAAAATAAATAACAATTAAAAATAATAATAAATATGAAAATAAAGATTATAATAATTTTATTCACTTTAATTTTAACAATCTAATGGTTTTTGCAAAATGTTCAGATCCTCCATCTGGAATATCTTAAAATGAGTATATATATATATATATATATATATATATTAATAATAAAACAATAATTAAAGAGAAATAAAAGAGAAATGTAATATACCATCGCGATCCACTGAAGTTAATACTACATAATCCAAACCCCATTTAGAAATTGCTTGAGAAACATTTTCTGGCTCATTCACATCTAAAGGTTTTGGTGTTTTACTTGTTTTCACCGAACAAAATCTACATCCTCTTGTACATTCATCGCCCATTAACATAATGGTCGCAGTTGCAGTTTTATGTTCACCTCCACCCCAACAATCTCCAATATTGGGGCATCGTGCTTCTTCACAAACCTTTAAATTAAATAATAATTAATATATTTATTTATATTTATTTATATTTATTATATTTATTTATTTATATTTATTTATTCTTATTATTATTTACAGTATGAAGATTTAATCCACGTAGATCACTTTTTATCCTTGCGTAATTAGCTCCAACGGGAACTTTAGTTTTAAGCCACTCTGGTAACCGTTGATATCTAATAATAAATATTAATATCAACAGAATTTCAGTATAAATAATCTATAAAATATTATAATCAAATTTAATAAAAAAAAACTATTATTTAGAAAATTAATTAAGTCTAGCGTACAATTGTCAGTCAGTTATATGCAAAAATTATGCTTACGGCTTCCGGTTTTTTTCATTGAGATTTCGTGAAGAACGAGAAATATCGTTTTCCTTATCCAAACCAACTGATTCTTGTATAAAATAATCTAAACCTGGTCCTGATTCTAAATTATCTGAAAATTGGTCAAGTTTTGATTTAGGATTGGAGGAAATATTTGAATTATCAATTGAACGATTGAATGTGTTGCTTGACTGGTGACGAACATTCTATAAAATTATAAAAACAAATTAATAAAATAAAATAAAAATAAAATAATTCATTTTGGAGTTAATAATAATTGAAAGATATTTTTACAACTTACTAAAGTCTTGACCACAGATCTTGTAATTAAAGTATTTCTTCGTAAAAAAGACATTAATTGTTGTTAATCGAAATTCGAGGATAAATTTATATTATACCTTTTATAATCTAGTGCATAAAATAACACAATAAGACTGATCGTGACTCAAAATTTTTTTTTCTGTACGCATATAAAATAAAATAATAAAATAATACAAATAATCCACCCAATATTTTAATTCATTTAATTCATTTAAATAAACCAAAACAATTTTTTTTTTAAAAAAAAAAATAATGATTTCGACCTACGCTTTCTCTACGTCGCTACGGCGTACGACTTCTTATTCTACATATGTTTCCACAACTTTAAGGAATAAAAATAATAAAAACGCGTTAATTTCTTTATCTAGCTCACAACGGCGGTGGAAAGCTAGTACTATTAGGTGATTTGGGGGTTTGAAAATCTTTTTTATATATATTATGTTCTTTATATTAATTTTACTTTTCATTGGAAAATTTATATATTATTAAAAAAAAAAAAAAAAAAAGCCCACATTCACAAACCGTACCAATATATACTCCTCCTCCTCCACCACGAAAACAAAATATTCCTATTTCACCGAAAGATACGGCAGAACGAACATCAGCTTATGATAGTTCATTTATAGGTTTATCTGGTGGTCAAATCTTTCATGAAATGATGTTGCGTCATGGAGTCAAGCATATATTTGGTTATCCTGGAGGAGCAATCCTACCCGTATTTGATGCCATTTACAATTCAAACCATTTTAATTTCGTACTTCCAAGACATGAACAAGGTGCTGGTCATATGGCTGAAGGATATGCGAGAGCTAGTGGTAAACCTGGTGTCGTTCTTGTAACTTCTGGTCCTGGTGCAACAAATGTTGTGACTCCCATGCAAGATGCTTTATCAGATGGCACTCCTTTGGTTGTTTTTTGTGGTCAAGTACCTACTTCAGCTATTGGAACTGATGCTTTTCAAGAAGCCGATGTTGTTGGAATTAGTCGAGCTTGTACAAAGGTATTTTGTATATATATATATATATATATATATATATTATTAATTTTTTATTATTCATAATTATTTTATTAATGAATTATTAATTTATTTTTATTTTATCCTATTGAAACGTTTAAAAGTGGAATGTAATGGTAAAAGATTTGGCAGATTTACCACGTCGCATCAATGAAGCATTTGAAATTGCCTCAACTGGTCGTCCTGGACCAGTACTTGTGGATCTCCCAAAGGATGTAACGGCGGGAATTCTTAAAAAAGCAATTCCCACTCAATATTCAATTCCATTCCGCGCATTCAATGATGTTCCTTCCTTAGCTTCATCTATGACCAATGAACCAGTGATTCAGCGTGCAGCTGAATTGATTAATCAAGCAAAGAGACCTTTGATTTATGCAGGTCAAGGGGTTCTTTCCACATCTGAAGGTTCAAATCGTTTAAGAGAATTCGCAAAAATCGGTAACATTCCCGTAACGACAACTTTACAAGGTCTTGGTTCCTTTGATGAATTAGATCCCCTAAGTTTGCATATGTTGGGTATGCACGGGTCTGCTTATGCCAACTTAGCTATGCAAAATGCTGATGTAATTATTGCTTTGGGTGCAAGGTTCGATGATCGTGTAACTGGTCATTTGGGACGTAAGTAAAGAACAAATACCATTCCATTTTAAAGAACATTTTAAAGAACATTTAAAGAACATTTTAAAAAATATTTCAAAAAAGAAGAATATTATTGAATATCATAACCTCTGTTAACTTAATTCTATTAAATTATTATTTATATCTATTGTAGAGTTCGCATTGGCAGCTAAACAAGCAGCTAAAGAGGATAGAGGTGGTATAATTCATTTTGAAATAAGTCCTAAAAATATCAATAAAGTTGTACAGGCCACTTGTGCTATAGAAGGTGATGTATCAGATAATCTTACCAGAATTTTACCATTAACTGAATTTTCGGAACGTAAAGAATGGTTTAGTCTTATTAATGAATGGAAACAGAAATATCCATGGACTTACGCTAAACCAAAAACATCAAATTCTCCATTAAAACCTCAACAACTTATTGAAGAGTTGGATCGTCAAACTCAAGATTACAAAGAAAAAGTTATTTTAACCACTGGAGTAGGACAACATCAAATGTGGGCTGCACAATTTTTCAGATGGAGATATCCTAGAAGTATGATTACATCAGGTGGATTAGGAACTATGGGTTATGGTTTACCTTCTGCAATTGGTGCAAAGGTTGCAAGTCCTGATAAAATTGTTATAGACATTGATGGTGATGCAAGTTTTTGCATGACTGGAATGGAATTAGCAACAGCTGTCCAATTTAAAATTGGGGTTAAAGTATTAATATTAAATAATGATTTCCAAGGAATGGTAAAACAATGGCAAGATTTATTTTATGAAGAACGATATAGTCATACGGAAATGAGCAATCCCGATTTTGTAAAATTAGCCGAGGTAAGCATTTCGTTACATTTCATTTATATTCAAAAAGTTAACAGTATTATATAAAGAGAAAAAATTTATTTAATTAATTATTTTCATTTTCATCATTTTCTATTTTATTCAGTCTTTTGGTTGTAAAGCGATAAGAATTCGCACTGAAGAAGAATTACCCCGTAAGATCGCGGAATTCTTGGAATATGATGGACCCATTGTATGTGATGCCATCATAGAAAGGCATGAACATGTATATCCTATGGTACCGGCTGGTAAAGCATTGGGTGATTTCATTGTTCACCCAGATTTACGAAAATGAAAGAAAAAATATTATTATTTAATATAAATAATTAGTAAAAAAAAATTATGATATAGTAATCTATTTTTCTTTAATAGATAAAGAATAGATGATTCTGTATAACATTACAATATATGTGATATTATTATATGTATAATATAAAATTGTTTCTAATTGTTAATAAATTCTTCCATTTTTAATCTTATTAAATAATGGATTTTCGATTGCATTTTCTCTCATGCATAAAAATTTTGCCGATCGGATTACTGTGATACTCTGATTGGCCGATTATTACTGAATAAATTTATAAAAAATAGAAAAATAGTAACAATTAAAATCCCGAAAAAATGGATCCCGCTGACCGTCCAGAAGTGATAATTGACTCTTTGCCCTGTAATTTAAATTCGACACGTTTAAATGTTTCGTTATTTATATAATAATATATTTTCTAATATATTTATATTTTTTAATATTTAAGACATTGATCGAGAAATTGATTATGGAGGTAATTTTCAACAAGTTTTCATATCATAATTTTGAAAAAAAAGTGGTTTAACGTAAATTATATATTTTATAGGTGTACGAGCAAAGGTCGATAAACTTGTTGAACAAGAAATGAGAAAGCGACCTACGGGGTCAAAACGTGATCAAGCAATAAACTTTCCATCCAACTTTGAATTTTTCAAAGTATATTATTTTTATTACATATCATAAATTAAAAAATATATATATGTATATAATTAAATTAAGAATTTTCTATTTGTCTTATTTGTCTAGGACTCACCTATACTTTCAACTGAATATCAACGTGTACAGCAAGGTAAACCAATTATTGAGATGGACACAAATCGATATAAATTACCAGATCCAGAAGATAAAACAGATCTAGAATCATGGAAGAAAGCGGTGGATAACTCGAAATCTCAATTAAACCATCAAAATTTAAGGTGAATTATAATTAATATTTTGTTATTTCAAAAGCTTTAAAAAAAGAGAACAATTATTTTTTGATTTCCATTAATAAATAGATCATATAATTTGGAATTACTTCAAAAATATGGTGCGAACGCGTGGAGAGTTCATAATTTTCAGTTAGAACATGAATTGCAACAATATCAAAAAACTCTAGAAGAATATAAACAAAATATATTAGAGCTTAATAAACAGAGAAAATCAGAACAGGTAATTTTTAAATTAATTAGAGAAAAAAAAATAGATTATATTTATTAACAAATTTATTATTATTTTTAAAGCTTCAAGCAGGAAATCAAATTGAAAATTTGGAACTTAAATGGACAGAAATGATTGGAAAAACTCTTCAAGTAGAAGTAGCTTGTGCATCATTGGAAACTGAGATACAACAATTAAAACAATATGAACAACAATTAATTACACAATCAGAGTCAATTAAACAAAATTCTCAAATTCAAAAAACTCAAATGGATGATCAAAAACAAATTGAAAATGATAATGAAACTGAAAAAAATGAAAAAGAAACAAGTGAATAATATTAATAATATTGAACTTTTTGATTAATATTAATGAATTTTGAATAGACTTTTAAATAATTAATTCATAATATAAACTTATGTAAAATCTCAATAACAATAACAATCAATTGCAAGTAATCAATCAATCAATAACAATCAACAACAATCAATACAATCAATAGCAATCAACAACAATAAATAACCCATTTACAGACCTTAAAACAATTTTCAAATTTAATTTCAATTCTACAAATATTGATAATGTTTTATCATCTATAGATTTTTTAAAATATGAAAATTTCTTAATAAAAATTATAAAAGAATATCAATTTAAAATATAAAAATAATTAATCTATTCAATATATATATATATATATATATATAAACATATATATATAATAAAAAAATAATAGATAAATAAAAATTTTTTTGTACACCAAATTAAACCTCAATATTAGGAATATTCAAAAATTGACATTATATCGGGCGCATGATTTCTTCATAGATAAGTTCTGTTTTACCAATATAATTTCGAATGAAAATTTTTAATAAATAAATAAAGTAAACATAATATAACATTTATAAATGAAATGAATACATACGTTTCAATTGTTCTTTTGAAAGAGAATCTTTATGTTTATCAAAATCAAAAAAGGATTCTGGAATTGGATTTGCGGATGGTTCGTCTTCAGGATCATGATACTTTTATCATTCATAAAATTTAAAAATTAATAATATGAGAAATTATATAATATATATATTTTATTTTAATACGGGAATAAAAAAAAATTACTCACAGGTTCCAGGTAAGGATGTTTCAATGCTTCTTCTACGGTGATCCTCTTGGATGGATTAAAAGCCAATAATTTTTCCAACATATCTAGGGCAAGTGGATTTGCCTTGGGAAACATAAGAGAGAAGGGAACTCGTTTCTTAAACGGAAGGCTGCGAATATAATCTCGAGCCTAGTAAAGTCAGCATTTATTAACGTTAGAAATGAATTAATTATCCATAACAATACAGTACCCTTCGACTTTTAATGCCATAGAAATCTTCCATTGTTGGTGTCCCAAGAACTTCGAGAATTAATGTTAATTGATGATGATCTATTAGTAAAAAAAAAAGGTATCCGGAGTCAAAGAATACAATCATAAATTTTTTAAATAATGAAAAATAATGAAATATAATGAAATATAATGAAATATAATGAAATATAATAAAATATAATGAATTTAATTAAATATAATGAAATATATTAAAAAAAAGGATACAGTCCCTCCCAGGAAACAAGGGTTTACCACTTAACATTTCAGCCAAAATACAACCAACAGACCATACATCAATTGCTTTGGTGTATTCTTTAAATGTTAACATAATTTCAGGAGCTCGATACCACCGAGTAGCAACGTATTCAGTCATAAAACCACTATGTTCATCATTCGAATTTGCACTTCTGGCGAGACCAAAATCACAAACCTACATTTAAAATAAATCTACTCGTAAAATTTAATTCATAAATAATACAATAAATAATGCAATAAATAAATACAATCAATAAAAAACAATTGATTCACCTTCAAATCACAATTCGCATTAAGTAACAAATTGCTTGGCTTGAGATCTCGGTGTAGGACATTTGCAGAATGCATAGCTTTAAGAGCCCGTAAAGTTTGATAAATAAAATATTGACAATGGTCGTCACTCAAATCTTGAGTACGAATGACACGATGCATATCAGTTTCCATAAGTTCTTGAATAAGATAACTATAGAAATTTAGCAAATTAAAATTAAAAAAAAAATGAAAATTAATGTATGATACAAATGATAATCAAAAATAAAACTTTCTCATACACTTCAGTGAACTTGTCCAAGCTCTCCGGTTTAACAATATCCAGAATGGCTATAACCTATAAAAATGTATATTTGAACTTACTACATTTGATAAATCTGATTAAATACATAAAATTATAATCAATCAGGTACTAACATTTTCGTGATTAAAATATCGCAATAATTTAATTTCTCTCAATGTTCGCAAACAAAACATAGAGTGATCAAAGGGAGTTATTTTTTTGATTGCAACTTTCTGACCGGAGGGTTTATGAGTGGCAGAACTAAAAAGTAATTATACAAAAATCATTGGACAAATGTCTTTTATCGTTTTGAGAATCACGATTCATACTCGAAGGAAGGAATTTTTACCAAACAACTCCATAAGCTCCTTCGCCTACCACATCTATAATATCATAATTTTCACCAACATTAAAATTCAATTTGCGTTGATGAGAATTTCTACTACTCATCTTGTTGAAATAAGAGACGAAACTTGATAATAAATTCTAAAAAAATTAATATTTTTGGGCAATGAGTAAGAAATAAAGTTAAATATTGTTGGCCAAAAATATCTTCATACACTAACTTATATATAATTTTATTTCTTTCTTAATACTGACAAAGTTTTAATCTTTAAATCTTTTTAACAAAGATTCATTGTCAACAGTAATGTTACCCAAATTTTCAAAATGGTATAATCAGCTGATTTTTTATTTTTTATTAAATACCGAAAAAATTGAAAAAACCCTCTTATTTTTGTAGTCAATTCCTTTACGTGATTTTTCATATTTTCTAAATTTACAAAAAAAAAATCCTTTTACTAAATTTGGCAAACAAGTTTCAAGTATTTCAAGTAACATGTTGTGATATATTTTATTGTGCAAGTTAATAATTTGATTTGGATTTGTGGAGGTTTGTTAAAGGACTAGTCTTGTGAATCATTTCCTTAATTCTTGATAAAGAAATTATAGTGATTTTATATGTACTAAACTCTACTTAATATAGAGGAATAAAATAAAATGAATTGTATTCTATTATTTATTTATTTATATAAAAAAAATTAGTATAACTACGCATCAGAAGACACGAAGGCACATGCTAAAATAATCATCAATCAATCAATATGCGTATCTGTGAAACCAATTCTAAAAATTTAGACGTGTCAGAATATATCCTAACATGATTTCTACAAAATCTCTAATTACAAAAAAAAAAGTTCATTTAGATCATCGTCTGTTACAACTGTTAAATTATCATCAGGTTGATATATTCATTCCCGTAAATCTTCACCATTATTTTCAGCTGAAGGAATAAATGAACGAATTTTTTTTTTTTCTATTTTTTCTTGCTCAACAAATTCATTTCGGATTACTGAAAAAAAAATTAAAGATTCTTGTATAGCATGTGATGACTTCAAATGCTAAATACTTCTTTTTATCAATAAGGGAAGTAGCAAATAACGTGAACCTATCACCAATTGTTTGAATGCAATATGTTCTATGTTGTTTTGCATCTTTAATTGAACAATCAAAATTGTTTGACAAACAGGTATCAGAAGAAGTTTTTTTGCATCCCTAACTGTGCGTTTTTTGGTAGAATTAAATGGTTGACCAGATATTTCAATATCTAACATTTCAGTAGCATCTGATAACCTCAAAATTAACAGATCCGTTTTTCAAGGTTTTTATATTGCACGAAAAGATGTTATTTACACCTTTTATTGATCTAACGTATTTTTCAATCCATTCGTATTTTATGTCGGGAAAGGAATTTCTGAAAGCTCGAAGAACTGTGAAATACATTCTACAATGTATGTCCTTTCAGACATATCCCTTTGGTGACAAAAACTTGAAGGTTGCAGTGAAGTCTAATAGAGTGTTTCTTATGAAAAAAGGAACCTTGCATCCTCTGTTATTTTCATTGTCTTCAACTTCCGTCTCCACGATTATTTTTGAAGTTATTACTGAATAATCTGACTGTAAAATTGCTTCAAGTTTTCTAATTATTGAGTTATTCAGGACTGATTTGTTTCTCATTTTAAGAATTCTTTCGATTTCTTCGTATAATTTCTTTTCAGTGATTTCTTTAACAAGATGACCCTAAAGCACAAATCATGTGCGTGGAGTATTGATTGTATGATATGCTCACGATGATCAATGGATTTGTGACTTTACGTGTGGTTGTACATGTTGTATTTCACGAGAATTATGTACTTCACGGACATATTTGTTTTGTAAAAAAAGCAAAATTATCAAAAACGGAACTTAGAATAGGTGTCTGTTCGATTTTTAGATAACGATTGTTGCTGATAAGGAAACACATGACACATACGATTAAATAATTACCAATAATAAATAAAAGATATAATTACACAACTATACAACTATGAAAAAAAATAATAATTTTTTTATTTTATTCATCCAAGAACTCTTTTTTTTTGATTTTTAAACATTCAGAAAAAGTAGTTACTCCTCTTCTATCCTTTCTTTATCTTTTTACTCTCCTTGATCTGTTGTATTCTTTCAAAATTAAATGGCCTCAAAAGAAGATCTTTAAGAGCATGGACCTGAGATAAGCCTATGAACAAAAAACCAGCCATAAACTCTTTGACACCAAGATTGATAAAAGCTTTTTGCAAAGTGAGTCCTTGGCTCTTGTAAACTGTAATGGCCCATATAAGATAAACAGGAACCTAAAGACATAAGCAGAAAGTTTTCAATTTACCTTCTTAAAAACATCTAATTGGAGTAATTGGTACAACTCTTATACCTTCTTTATTGATAATTACAGATCCTTTATAATTGTCAAAGTTTATAAAAATTGCTATAGGAAGTGAAAGTAGCCTATGTTCTTCAAATAGAATGTCCTGAATGGTTCCTAATGAGCTATTAATCAGGTTTACTTCTGTTTATATATTTGTTTTTATCATAACTCATGTGCCTCTTGTCAGTAATAACAGTGTCTCAAGACCATGTGCTATATCAGAGTTAGTTTTTTTAACTTCTGAATCACCAGTATATAGATAAAATAGAAAGGTGTGAAGTTCAGTTAATCATATGAGTGGTGTATAGGCATAAAATAGGAGTTGCGTACGGTATACAAAGGTATAAAAAAAACTCTTAAATATCATGTAATTAAAGTTAGGATAAGGTTAAGATTAGGGATTGGTCAGTTATTTAGAGTTAAACATAGGTTAAAATATTTATACTTGTTTTTACATTGCTGTATTTCACTTATCTAGTTAATTGAACTTCACACCTTTCTATATTACTTCCAGCATATATGGTATGAATTCTTGTAACAAGGATATTTAAAGATCTAAGCTTATCTAAATTTACAATATTTATGTTTGACCACATTGATATAATAAAAATAACATCAAAAAAATACTTACACTCAGTCTTACTTAACTTATTCTCAAAATGAGTGATAAGTATTTTCTAATTATTTATCAAAGATTCTCTATTATATAGTTGTAAAAGAATATCCTTAAATTTTTACTATTCCTTGAAATTTTCAGATTGCCTTTAAATTATTTCAAGTTAATATGCCTTTTGAAATTGGTCATGTACTATATGCCTGTTATTTGATAATGAATCTCATGTGATATTGATGAATATTGAAAAGTCAAGTACAGGAGGAAACAGTTTAAAATTGGTTACTATAATAATCAACTTGTTTCTGAAAAGTTTATCTTTATATTTAAGAAAGGCTTGATGTAGTCGCACATTAATTAAAGTAAGCATTTGTCATCCTATTATATACTTTTTATCTACAATGACATATATTATATCTTTTAATCTCTCCTACATCAGGAAATTTTTGGGAACAAATATATCTGAATATTTTTTAGTTTAGAAAAAATCTGAATAAATTCGTAAATTTATTTGCATATATTCAGATTTTTTCAATTTTCAAATATTCGGAACAAATATATTCAAATATATTTACCTATCAGAAAATTTTTGGAAGTAAATATATCTGAATATTTTTTGGTTTAGAAAAAATTCAGATAAATTCACAAATTTATATGAATATATTCACAAATTTATGTGAATATATTTGCATATTGGATTTTTTCGATTCTCAAATATTCAGATATATTTGAAAATTATTTGAAAAATTCGTAGAATATTTAATGAGAAATGATACTGAAATTTTATTTTTAATTCTTTGAAGTTATGATCTTTAACAAATTTTTAGATAGATAAAGATCTATTTAGTTCTAAAAAAATTGTTGAATAAAAAACATACTAATAATTTATTTTGTTTATTTAGTTTCATAAATTTATGTTTTATTTATATTATATTCATTTTTATTTACATTATTAATTATTTTTTTTTATTAATTATTTTATATTATTTATAGATTATCATCATTATTATTATCATCACTATAATCATCATTATCATTACTGTTATTTTTTTTGGATTTTCTTTTATTTCGAAAAGTTATGGATTGTTTTACTTTTTTTTTTATTTATTATTTTTTCTAATCTTACTTGCATTTTGCCAAGAGTTGGAAGTTCCGTATTGTCATTCATTTAATTTTTACCAATCGTTTAGTTTTTATCAATCATTTGATTTTTATGTTTTTTTTCAAAGTTTCAGAAATTTCTTCTAACTTGTCAAAGTTATTATTAAATTTTTTCTTATCTATAATCTTTTTCTAAATTTTTATTTTATTTTTTATTTTTTGTTAGTTTTTGAATATTATTTTAATATTAATTATTTTAATTACTTACTATATTTTTTTCAACAAAAGGTTAAATAATATTTTCAGTAATTTGGATATAATCATTATAGGGGTTTAGAAGGATTTCAACAATCGACACGTACCAAGCAGTGTGAGGATCTGAGATTAGTTTTTTTTTAAGCCATATATTTTTTATTATATATACGATATGTTTTTCAGATATATTTTCAATTTCTTTAAATAATTTTTTGTAACATTCTAATATTATAAGGTTATTTTTCTATGTGATAATTTCGGTTACTGTTACATTGTTATTAATAGGTAGTAATTTATCAAAGACTTTAAAGATAGATACTTTTACTTTTGTATTTAAATTACTATATAAACTTCATATTTTTTCATCCATCTGTAAATTTTAATAGCTATTATAAGATTTAATAATATTTATAATATTAATTAACAATTTTAAATAATACTTGCAGATTTCTTTATTCTTTTCTCAAAATATCCATCCCATTGATCACCCAAACTCAAAAAAAAATCATTATTTGTTTTCTTTAAAATTTCTTCTGACATTTTTTTATAATTATTAAAAATTGAATATATATTATAGTTCAAAAGTTCTTCTGAAGCTTTTTTAATAATGACCTGCATAATAAATAAATTCGAATAATTTTATTTAAATACTATTAAAATATATAATAACTATAAATATTATATTAATTTAAATTTATTTATATTCAGAGATTCTTTATTAAACAAAAGTACAGATATTTTTCTTTTATTGATTTCATATCTTTTTCCATTTTACATAGTTTTTTTTAGTTGTCTTCATTTATTTGTTATAAAAATTCTAATTTCATCATAATTTAATATAATAGAGTTAATAAAAATAAATGACTTTTCAATTCAAGTTTTTTTGAATAAATATAAATATTATTAAAATTATACTATCATTTTTTGCTTGCATAGTAAATACAAGGAATAATGGCGCAATTGAATTATCACTATCAAAAGAGAAGCCAAAAGACTATGAATTTAAGTAAGAAATATTTGCAGAGGATTTACTTGCAAAAGATTTACTTGTAGAGATTCTATTTCTGGAGGTTTTCAAACTTGTAAAAAAAAGAATATTTAAATTATTTATCCTTTTAAATAATAGAACAAAATTTAATTCAATTATTTTATATTTTTGTTATTTTTATTATATTATATACTTTAGTTATTAAAAAAAATTATTTAGAAAAAAATATAAAAAATTAAAAATTATAAAAAAATTTATTTTGAAGGTAAAAAGAATATATCAGGTTTGGTATGTAAGGAAAAATATAAAAGAAAATATAAAGGAGAATAAATGTCATTATCCTTTACATAAATATTTTCAAATAACAAGTAATTAACTTGTAAATTATAAATATATTCGAATAGATATTATATTTAGTTAGTAATATTCTTTTATATTTTTTATATTTACCAAGTTTCTATTATAAAAATAATAAATATTTTTCTTGATATGAAAGTATAGTTGTGAAAAAATTTTCTTGGTTACTAAAAAATATAAGAATTTGAAAAGTATAAAAGAAATGATGTAAAGTATCTTTGAAATTAATTAAATTTTTTAAAAAAATAATAATTTTGAAATATTTTTATAAAAATACCAAACTTCAAATACCTATATTATGATTGTTATTTTTCATCTCGATAAGTATACACTTAACATGTTAATAAAACTTATAATGATATAAATAATATATCACTTGATGACAAAGATTCTAATCGAATTAATCGAATTGAAGAATTACAAATTGTTTGAAAAGAAAGTCTGACATCTATAACTAACAAGTATGAAGATCAAAATATGTCACCTATATCTTATGAAAATATTGAAAATACTGATGTTTTAAGTAATTTTCTAAAAGATTATGATTCACAAAGTAATTTTGATCGATCTGAAAAGTCAAATATAGAAGATTATGATAATTTTGAACAATTTTTATCTGAAAGACTATAGAGTAATTATGAGAACCTAATAAACAACTTGAAAAAAATACTATAGAATTTCCAAACAAAATATATATTGACTTAATAGAACTTGTAATAAAGCATAATTTAAATAATAAAGCTGAAAATGTAATTATAAAATTTTTTAATAAACATCTAATTTATCCATTTTATCTCTTCCTAAAAATATTGAAACTGGTTGAAAACATATGGACATAATGAATATACAAAAATTACCACATTCAAAATATTGTATAATCAACTATAAAAATAAAAAATATTTTATATATTACCATCCTATTAAAAGTTATATTGAGAATCTTTATCAAACCTTGAAATAATCAAAAATTTTATATATAAATATCAATCTTTATAGGTAATTTATATTACTAAAATATATATAAAGCATTCTTTATTTATTTTATTATTTATTTATTTTATATATTATTAAATAGTCCAATGGAGAAATATTATATAGTGAACAATATTCTGGAAATTGGTAGAAAATGGTGAAAGCTTCAATTCTA